ACAAAAAATTATTTCTCAATGATTTCTGACTTACAGAATGAAATGTAATCCACGCATAATTAACTTCTCAGATAATCAACAGCAATGTTCATTGCTTATACCGGATCAGCAGTCTAGATAATAACACGAAAGAGTAGAGTTTCTTCCATTCTTTCGGGTACCAAAACATAAGCTGCCAACTGTTGCAACTCAAAAAGTATGCCGTCTTTATATTACAGACATTGTACGAGATTGGTTCCATTGTTTGCTTCACGATACATTTTCATCATTTGCTTCAATATTTAAAGAAGTGAAGGTCTGTCATTTCAACATTACAATCTTTATACAATAAAATAATGTTTATGAATTTGTAAGGAAACAAACATATTTAAATTACCACAAAATAGCTCATCTGACAATTCATTCTCTGATTTTTATCGCCTTACTATATTTTACATTTCACAACAAACAGAAGTCGTTTGGGAAATGCAGTTACTTTTTCCGTTAATTCATTTAAGAAATTCACTGAAGATTTCTGTCTTCTGGGTTATTGCGCTGTGTAGTCTGGTCGATGTTAACCAACGTTTCAGAGGTCATACTGCCTCCGTCATCAGGGCGATGAATATGCCACTTCCCTGCCTATAAATCCAACTCCTCACACCCTATTGGCATATTCATCGCCAGAACCCAGAAGACAGAAATCTTCATACTCACCGCTGTGAGAACCTCAAGTCTTACAAGAAATTCACTCTTTTAACAGGGGTAAAGTGTTCATATTAAACGTGTTAGCCCGGTTAACACGAATCAAATCAGAATCATGCCAACCGAGTTAACAGCGTTAGTTGTTTTAGCCCGGCCAACCCTTTAAAAAACGAAACATGTGTTGTTGCGTCTTGTCTTCGTGTTCGAGTGGTACTCCATGCACTACAACACAGCAGAATCGGTCTGATAAAATGCATCGTTTAGCCAGCACCATCCAGAGGTTGTTAACCAGACAGCTGAGGCTTCTGCTCGCCGCGAACGCCTGTCTGGCTGGTGGTAGCAGCGAATATGCATTTTATCTGAGCGGCTCTGCTCTGTTCCAGTATTGTATTGAACCACGAAAACAAGAAAGCAAGGCACAAGGCTAGGTATTTCGTTTTTCAAAGTGTTAGCCGGGCTAACACAGCTAACACTATTAACACAGTTGACATGAAGGTTTTAAACGATGTCTATGGACGATGTTAAGTCCGTGAAGAGAAGGAGGCGGTTCCGGGGAATCGTGACAGCGTTTCCCGCTGTCTGGGAACACCGTCTTTCCACTACGCGACCACTCGGCGTGAAGCAATGGCGGCTGTCCCCTCCCAGATACACACAACAATACTTTTGGAAAACTACAATGAGGATCCTTTTCAGAAAATATAATTTTTTTCACAACCAAAGTTATTTTAAGTAATAGGCCTAAACGAATATGTTCCTTTTGTGTGAAATGCAGGCTAATTAATGGTTTCCTGCAGGGTAGTAACAAAGAATGAAACGCACAGGGCACTGCAGGAGGCTGGCTTCTCCATCCCACAAACTTTCTGTTCCTTAAATATCGATAAAAAGTATCGACATTCATGTCGGAAAATGAACCCAGATTGTCCTGTTCCAAACCAGTCACTGGCATGCGATCATCTTTAGTGCCAACTGTTTCCGAGCTGCCATGTTCGTTCATTAACGTAGACCTCGTGAAATAAGAGGCTAAATTTCAAATTTCTCACGCTCGTCTAAGAGGTATTTGGAAGTACTTACTGTAAATTAATTGTTGGCAATTGTGTTATTATTTTTAGAATACTGTTATTATTGTCTTTATTTTCTGAGGTGTGCACAGATTTGGTTATAAAAGTAACCGGCTGTGTTCTCGAAACTCTTTGATTGTCGAACAAGTGGTGTTTCATCAGAAGGTGTAAGTGTCTTGTGATGCTGTGCTACATATCCCAGAGAACATTTTTATACGGCAGAGAGGATGTTATGCTATGCTAATCCCTGAATATGCATGGTGTGTGGGATTAGGCGTGGGTATTTCCTGTTGCTGACGTTGCATTCGGCTTAATTATCTCCTCTTACAATCTCCACATTATTTATTTTTAATTTCTTGTGCCAAGCTCACATTTATTTCGAGTTGGCGCGATCATTAATGAGACTTCCAGGTCAAAAAACGTATCTTATTTGTTTTTTCTTGCTAGCCTGTAAACCAATAGGCTTATATCAGTGTGTCAGGAATAGACTTTAGCTTATAACCCAATTATTATTTCCATGCTTGATATTTGTAGTAATGCTTTATTCCCCTTAACAATTCACATTCTTCTGCATTTATGTATGTAAGCCTACGTTTGCCACATGAAGTTACGATAAAATATAATTTACTGTGGAAAATGTGAAGTATTCAATGACGTCATTTAAGCGGCGTTAAATAACATTAATACTGTACTCTGTACTATAAATCTAAAACAGTTTATAGGCTTAAAAAATCAGAATAAGGAAATTGGTAACATCAGCCATACTACGTATTACTTTCAGTGTGTTCAACGAGATTTGAGGCCATATTAAAAATTACTAGCAAACACACAGAAATCAATCTAGCTTTTTGAAGAGAGGTTCATTTTAGGCGCTATATTAGCCCGAAGCGACGAGAAGAAAGATCTTCGAATACTTTGTCCGATTCCAAATGTTAACGAAGTCGATACGGACAGGTTAGGTACTAGCCATTAAGATTAATACAAAACACGCGGTATTTACAGTGGAGAATAATAGGCGTACTGAGTTTGATATTAATATTAATGAATAGGTGGTGAGGTTGTAAAAACGATTCATTTAGCTTACGAAAGGGACCAGCGGCGAGCTCTTGTGAACACAAAAATAACATTCAAATTCCATGAAAGACGGGATGAGTGAACTCAACTTGTCAACAAAGATTCTGCTCCAAAGATATGGTTTAATTAAATAAATTATATACAATTTCACCGTGTACTAAATGAGTTAATTTATTCTACAAATGAAACAAATGTATTTTTCAAAATAAAATCTGAACAATATAAAAAATTCTTTCCTTTTATAACAGCACTGGCTTGTGTGACTCAAATTTATAATTTCGAGAGAGTTATTAAATTAAGTCTCTCATTTTCACGGTTTCTTTCTAAATAAGAATGTGACAGCGCATTGCTTGTGTAGTGGCCAGAGAAAGTCTCACTCTGTATTTCAGGAACAGATCTATAGCAATTTGAAATGCGCAGATGTTTAAATTATGCTGCAACTAGCAACGACTATTGAAATTCAACGGTAAATTCCAGATACATGGACTCATTACACATTATGCATTTGATATCGTAAGACATGTTTCTTTTGAACGAGTTTCTCTACATCCTGTTTTAAGTTAAACATTTTCAATTACATTTTTTTCACATTCGTCACATAAATTTGCGTAATAAGAACTTGACGATATTTTCTTTCTAATTTTTTAGCACCGCGTTGTAGACATTTAAGTTCTGGAACGGTATCATAAAACAGCCTTTTTAACTTTACCACTTTCTTCTACGACGCCTTTTACGATCAAAATACAATTGTTATTAATTGATGTGGCATCGCATTTTAAAACGTCATCAATCATTTACTTCTACGGAAGGAGCTTACTTTCCTGAAAATGTTTTCACTTACAACGATGATATTTAAGTGCATGCCTGAAAAGTACGACCACATTCAAATACCAACTCATATTTTTAACGGCCATATATTTTATGAATAACATTCGATAAGAATCATTTTGTCCTTTGTATTTTATTCTTCGATGCACTGTTAACGAGAAATAGGTTGGATCGCCACATAAGCATCTACTATACCAAATAAAAACAATGGAATCCATTCTTTCATGCGCCCGATAATGTTCAATTCGATGACTACTCAAGCACTGATTTCTACACCTATTAAAGAAACTGTCCTTACTGAAATGAAGAAAATATAACTTAAAACGTAATTAATTAATTAATTCCATTGAACAGAGTTTTCCATGACACAATGGACAGTCTCTTAGCAGGTTCAGACATTTTCCTACTTTAACGAAACCAAAAGTTTCATCACCGTGTTGGCAAAAGGCCTATCCTAATTCACATTCAATCAGTTCACACTCTCACACTCAATTTTTAGCAAGCGTTTACGAATGTAATTAGCGATATTTTAATTTGCTCGTAAAAGTATGCCTAATTACGATTTCTTAATCTGAGTCCCAAATATGCGAACTTACCACATTTTAGGGAGACGTACCTTAACGTTGTAGTTTTATATTTTGTCTTGGAAAAGAGACGCGTGTGTGTGTGTGTGTGGATATATATATATATATATATATATATATATATATACACACACACACACACACACACCATTTTCTCAATATCTGTAAAACAATTGTTGCAAGAGTCGTCATTCTATGATACTCTTCAAGCTCTGACACATAAAGCTTGATGTGATACACACATGAATATAAATTATATGCCTGAATAAATACGCACATAATAAAACATGGGCCAAGAAATTTATGTATATTTGTGGATGTATGTGAATGTTACCTCGTACTTTCCACAGAAAGCACCCTAGATCAAACGCATACACACACAATCCATAAATTAGGTATAAAGTACACAGAGGAGAGTGTAAGAACACAGGCGACCCCAGACCCTACAGACCCTACCCTAGAATTTGTATCGTATCACCCCGTGAGGTTTAGAATTTGGATACAAGCAAGCACCAAAAACGTTTAGCACACAGATCGCTTATTACAATTAAAATGTAACTTAAAAACTAAAACCAGCATCCAAATTTTTGATTCACATCTCAAAAAACCAACCAGTGTTCCGAACATTGTCGGTGTTTCTTCTCATCCTACTCTTGAGGGTAAAGCAGGATGCCTTGCTTCAAACCGTTCTTCCATGGGACAAGAGTTGTTACTGACACTACAATACTTCCAATTGCTAACCACCAATAGACGACTTGTTCTCTCCCCTTTTCAGAATTGATCCTGTAGGAAGAATTGCTAGAGGTTGCAACAGAGCATCATTATTCTTCTCTCCGCTTTTAGTTGTGTGCTGCAAGCAGTTTCGTACAGCAAGAGGCATTTGTCACTTCGTGTGTGCACACATGCGACATTCAACAAACGACACACCAAAATGCAGAAGGAGCTGCACTCATAAGTTGATGGCAACGTTCTCTTCAAACTGAACGGTAGGAAGATGAACCAGTTTTATGCTCTATTGAAAATAATGCATGATACATAACCCTATTTTGAGTCTGTGTAACATAAGTGGTAATAATCTTAAGGTAATTTTGTGCAACGGTCTATCATGTGTCTTGTGTGGATAACTCCTAGGCTTCTACGTTTATTCGTGGAAGAAACCTGTTATTATTGATATGTCATGCTTTTGTTTCTGAACGGTCAGCGAAATAGAAAGACACATTTATAAAGGGTAATAAACTGAAAAGGAATGAAACGAAACAGCTGCTACGGATGAAGGAAAGAAAGAGAATTATTCCGATACACAAGTAAGCCTGCTAGCATGTCATAAACAGACTGCACGTAAATTTACGAAACTGGAACAGAAGACAAGAACTACTTGCGTACCTTGAGTTAAGCACATCTTACTTAAGTTTATTCGAAATATAAGAAATATGAATACACATGGGCCAGCTTATTTTCGTTTCGCTACAGCAAACAAAGGATATCACTGTGTTTGTCCATGACCGTCAGTTAAGCACACACAAAGTCAAACATATTTTTATATTTAAATACAGTCTCGTTAGTTACAGTTCCAGTAAATTGCAAAACATACTCTGTTACGTAGCACCAAACATAAAAGCAAGGATACGTACGCTCTACATATGGAGATCCTCTTTTAATAAATCCACACCCCTCATAATCTGCATTATTTTTAAATAAGTTAACAAAACCACGTGTACCATTACATTTTTCCAGCATAGATGATGAACATTTTAGGGACAGAAAGTGTGGTGCAGAGTCCGTCATTTTGTGTTAGGATCTGCTAGTTGCAATTCAATTTCACAAAATGATATTGAAAAATAATCTTTATATTTCTGGAGTTAATTAATATTGATTAAAGTCATATTCCGTTACGTCAATGTGGTAGTCTGGCTAATAATATCGCGTGGGCTAAAAAGTAGATAAAAATGTTTCAGAGAAGCACCTTCAGGGCTGAAAATGGAGGCAGTATTTGCCTCCGAAACGCTGGCATCTACCCACGAGTCCACATCGCGTAAAAACCTAGAAAATCGATACTAACGCCTTCACAGCTGTGAGAATCTCAAATCTCGTACGTGAATATTCCATTTTTGGAATGAAAATATTAGATTTTACAGGCTGACTTCAAATAGCAGAAAATCATCTGTTTTAGACCCACGTACATGGAAATTGTCTTTATTACAAAATTGCTGCCGCAGTAATTCGTAACTTAATCGAAGTATCGTCAAGGTCACGTAATTTACTTATGTTTTGTAGTTTCTACTTGAAGTCCACCAAAGTGATTCTGAGCAGGCGAAATGCAGCAACTGTCGTTTCACGTAAATTCCTTTTTTTTTACGTTCGACTTTTATAACCTGAAAGACTACAATTATGGGTAAAAGATGGCAACTATCATAAATTCACCAACTAGCCGACAGTAAATAAGTCCATACAATTTGTGTTGGACGAACGCATTCGACCATCAACAGTGACACAGGACGCTGCGAATTTTTTAAATACAAATTACGTATTTGTTGGCATAAGCGAAATAAAAGCTAGTTGATGAACTTCTGATAGACAATTGTAGCTACTCATTGTGAGAAATTTTTAGAGGAGAAGAATGTAAATATTAAGTTTCTACTCGAATTATTATAGTCCTACACTGCCGCATTAAATCCTCATATTAATCGAGAGCAAAAGGATTTTCCTACAACTTAAGAGTGTGATATTACGCAAGGGATTAATAAGAAACGAGAGAGATTTTGTGACGGTAAAAGTGCTGAGAGCGTACAGCGAGAATTCTAGATGGAAAGACTGTGTGTGGTGGAAGCAGCTGAGGCGAGCGATGCTACACGTGTGGCTAAGAGAGCCAGCCACCGTGTACCAGGCAATGGAACGCAATTTAAACTTGTATTTATAGCTGACAGGACCTCACGGTACAGTCAATGCTGTGAAAAATACGTACATTGGTGGAGGAGTTTCACGGGGTCTGCTTTAGCACGGACACCCCAAAAATGCGAAATATAAAATCTGACAGATTTATTTATAAATCGGACAATTATTTCATTAGAATGGTGCAATGAAAAATTATATACTTTAGAGAAAAATATACCAATATTTTATATAGTTTTATATGTTTAACCCTCATTTATTCTCAGGGACATCTGTCCACAGTTATTATAGGATTTAGTATCAGAAGGAATAACGGAAATAAAATTACAGTGATCAAGTATACTCACATATTAACACTCATAAATTGTTAATTAAGTGACAGAGACTGAAATTTATTAGATTGTTATTCGTATAAAAAAATACAAATTGGAATTGTTTTATATATATTGATAATAAAATTTGATAGCGTATCAAAATAATTGTATCAATTAAATACGACGATTAGAAATTATAATCTGACAACCTCTGCTCAGTAAACCAGAATAATAAGTCTAGCATTTCATGGTAGATACGCCATTCGATAGAAAAAGTAAGACAATTGGACGGGTAAATGCTTTTAACAATTTTGGCTGCATAATTCATAGTCATTTTTGATATGACATACATATATAAACAAGAATTTCTCAGCAAACATGCGGTAAATTAAAAAGAAAACATGAGAAACAATAACAAAAAATGATACTTAATTAAAATGTTAATATGCGATTGTACGGAGTCCACTGTATATTGTAAGGCTTGGGCACGAACAGAGCATTATTTACGAATAATAGCAGAGGAAACAAACTATTGCAATCGATAGGAGAATAGATATTAATGGATTATAAAAATAATGAGGGTATGAGAAAGGAAGTAAAAATGTTAGCCGAAAAGCTAACAGAGTATAGAAATAAATAGAAATAATATTTAGAAGGAGCAGACAATAATATAGCAGGAAAAAGAAAGCAACTCAACGGCATTAGCCACTTGCAAAAAGAAGTTTAGTTAGACCAAGAACAAGTTCGTTGGTGCCAACGGAACCGGAACACGCCAATGGGCCTAATCCTCGCAGATATCTGTATTTTTGAAACGGGAAGCAGACGAGACATCCGTATATAAGGACGTCAGAGAACCGTGATATAACCGCAACACTGATGATGAATTCCGGCATTGAGGAACTGAAACACATTTGTAAGCAGCTGAAGGTCAGGTATAATGAAAACTGGAGGAGCTATTGGAATAAATTAAACGTATACAGTTCAGACCAGTAGTGGTAACTGAATAATTCTGCAAAGCTTATAAAATGATATTTTCAAATTTTAGTATTAATTAACAACTTTAAGCCCCAGTTGGAAATAGATGTACCTTCTTCTTTAACTATCGGTAACTGTGTTGTATGGTATTTATGGGTTTCTTGCGATTCTCAGTGTAAATAGAGATTGTTTCCTTCAACAGTATTAACAAATTAATCATCGTGATGGCTGAGTTTTGTGTTTTCTTTGTAATACTGACTGAATTCTTAATAACGTTTATACGGACTTTGGTTTCAAAGGATATCTATATTCTTATTCATAAAAAGGGCCATTACAGTGTAGATTCCAAAAAAAGAACAGCAACTATTCCTACTGGCAAGAGTAACACTACTAACACTAATGATGTATACTAATAATAATAATTCTCTATTAATAATATAAAGATACCGCTATAAAAACTTCAGCCTCGAATTACGAAAGACGGTCATTATAGAAGCATTACATAAGTTGAGGCAACACAGAAATGTATTTTCCAGAAGTTACGTAATGATGTTTAGGGTCAACATTTGACCCTGGCTAATGGATAGATACTCCATAAGATGGCTTAAAATAAAATAAATAACAACCACTACGCATATGTTATTGTAAGCGACACATGTCCAGTGCCTATTCACAGAAAAGGTTCAATGAATTTTAATAACCTATATTCGGTGTATTCGGTGCACGATATCTGCGGAATGGACGGATATCTATCGATTACAACCCGGCCTATAAATATCTTACAACAAATATACCATTTCGGCAATAATCAGGGATATCTTAAATAGATTAGTGCTGCTTTGTTCCTGGTGAGAAGAGGTTATGTCTCATAAGTTGGTCACTTCAGTGAAGTTCTTGGTAACGGATGAAGACGCCCTAGTAGATCAGTGGTGATAGAACTATCTGTCTACCACAGCGGATGTGAGAAACTCATATCTTCAACTTCTTCTTCCCATTCAAGGACTGAGTCCAAATTGACCCGTTCCGACACTAAAGGAATTGCCTCCATCTCTTTCTTGGACGCCGATGTCCCGTCTTCCAGTACATCAATAACAATAAACAATACAATTTACACATATGTGTATAGACCTACATACACATAAATGCGTCTGTTTTCATTCAATTCATTTGTATATTCAATAGTCAAATCATTCTTTTATTCCTTAACCTAAACTTAAAAATCTGAATTAATTTCTTGTTTCATTTATACCAGACTACACGGTGCAAAATTCCAGAAGATATCCAACTTCACAATGGACTACGGACCAAGAGGGACGCAAGTGGATACAATTGTATCCTAAGCCTATATAACAGTATTTATCATGCAGACATCAGGGAGGCTCTGACAGCCATTGTTCATTTGATTTTTTCCCAATTAATTTAATATCTACATAAAACTCTTGGTTCACATGGCTCATGTTTTGAACAAATAGTGTTCAAAGTTTGTATTCAGAATCGTGGACATGAAGATTTCTCGGAAGAAAGGGCTGATGTCAGAATTCACAGTTAGCCGTTACAGCCAGCCATTTTGAACAAGCCGTGGCCTCCTTCATGTAATGCAGAAAGCAGCAAATCTCATGGGCCGATCATTCTGTAGTGTCTCTTTACGCTCGGAATGGACTGTATCCCGTGACCTTGCATGTCGTCCTGATAAAATTTAGTAGTAGAAATCAGAAGAGAACTTTGTCCCTTACGATATAACTTATTTTCAATAAACTTTAGCAGTGTCTTAGACATGTAAAGAAACGTAAGTCAGTGAAATTAATGTTGAAATTGCGATAACGTATTCAGATATAATATTTTTGTTTTTCTTATTACGAGTGCAGGGGAAGAACTATTGTATGCCTTCATAAAATAAGGTTGGAATTGCTTAAATTCTTAAATCTATATGATGAATATTTTACTCATGGCAGAGCACGAGTACCCCTACTCAAAATAAACTACATATTATGTAATTACAAAATCCTGCTCGATTTTATCCTAAATTACTTTATTAGCCTTCAATTGTTCTTAAGAAATGATTGCATTTATACAGAGAGAAGTGACTATAATTACCTGACTTTCATAAAGGTAATATTTAAAATTAAAATGAATCTCGATGCTTTACCAAATTCAAAAAAATTAAAAATGGGTACAAAATGACTGTTCACGGGGTTTTGCCATTAATTTTACTAGAACACTTAATAGGACACAGGTCTCTGGCAAATTTAATTCATCATAATTAATTAATCAAGAAATCACTGAATTTGATTCTGTTCTTCACTCTTCATAGTTGCTACTGAAATATTTTAAATACGTTATACAGCCGCAGAATGATTATTAACTTTAAATATTATTAGCGGGGCCTCATGACTCGTATTTAAAGGCACCAGTTCTTAGAAATTTGAATTTCTTTACTGATTACTCAAAATTGCTTTCTTGTGCCCATTTAATGTGCAATAGCCATTCCATAATTACCATGTCACAAACAAAACGAAATGTATCGATTATAAATATCAGAGAGTGTCTTCAGCTCTTGAAATCTGTTACACCAGCTGTTAGAAAATTCTCTCGTGGTATCTCGTGAGATTTCAGACGAAATTCACTAAATTATATGATGTAGCACCATGCCATAAAGACGTACGGTTCAGTCAGTCGAGGTACAGGTACACACATTCTTAACCTCGGCACTAGAAGGAATTGTGTAGTCAAATTCACTCCCCGGGCCGCTTTACCGCCAGTCAAAGAGCTTCTAGCACCCGCTGATAAGAGGCCGGGTGGATCCCAGAGCACGTCAGAACATAACTGAAAATCGCACGAATGTGTGTAAACGGAATTCTTGACTTTCAGACACTGTAAGTGCTACATTCTATGCTAAATAGACAGTGTGCCAGATCGATGAATGCTTGCCTGTTGGTTTGAATTTTAATGTACTGTATAAAACCTATGGGAGACAGGAGTTGAAGGCGATTTGATTTTGCTGGCCCAGAACAGGGACCGGTGCAGGGCTTTGGTTAATTCGGTGATAAACCTTCGGGGTGTCCTAAGCCAACTAGTTAGTTAGTATGAAACCTAAAAAATAAGATACGCTAAAATAAGGCCGGTGTTGCTATTCTGGGTAAATAACTACATTGTACTGGACAGCTAAAGACATTACTACCCAGAAGACTAACATTAACCTCTTCATTGTCGTGAGAACCTCAAATATCAATAGGTCTATAGTTATAATACTTGTAATGCGTGACAACTTTAAGATCACTGCCTTCATCACCACGGTAACGAGTAACTCATTGTCCTGATGAAACGTTGGTCAATTTCTACCAGACTACGCGGCGCTTCAACTCATCATCTTCGTCGTGAGAACCTCAAATCGTACTTTTTATGAGAATTACTGTGATTTTAACAACTGAAATTTAATAAAATCAGCAATTCTTTAAATCAAAACTGCCTGAGAGCTAACACAGAATAAATTCGGTTCTTTCAAGTGAATACCAGCTATATTATTCAAATATAGATTCGCGTACATTTCACGACATTTTCCTTCTCCTGCTACCCTCGACGCTAGATACGAACAGCCAACACAATCCGATATCACAAAAAGGTTGCCGACCCCTGGTCTGTGGGGCTTTCATCGTGATCAATTCGTTTAAGCTGGTAAGGTTAATTTATAATTCATAATCATCCTGAGTGAAATACAGTTCAGGTAAAGATATACATATATTCTATCACAAGTAAAGTCTTTCGCTTTATCACAGCGACACATTTATACAGTTTCTGTTATCATCAGCCACTAAAAATATGATAAATCATATACGCCTACACAGATGACGAAATATGTCACTGTGATAATGTGGAAGAGAGTCTGGATGTGTTAACAGACGGAATATGCATATATATTTTTATCCGAAAACTTCAGTAAGAAGCTTAGTATCGCTCAGATGTAAAACAAATCGCCATGTTTAAAATAACACCGCTGGAACTTAGCCTGAGACATAAGCGACTAGTCAGTACCATCGCATTCTATTTATGAAACAGAGAATTGTCTTACAGAAACAATTTGTCCGTTGTCCTTGTATAGCATAATATATCGGCTGCTGGCAGAAGATCAGACATGTCAAATTACTGACCTATGCTAAGTCAGTTCAACCAGAGACAAGGCTGCACTGTTTTTCTTCATTAAGAAGTCTACTACAGATTGTCACGTACTCCTGCTTTTACGATATGCTATGCGTGTTTCTGCGTGTAACCTATATTTGACATTGCCTTCCACGTTCGCTCACCAGACAAACCATTACCACACCGCACGTTATTTCAGACACGTCTACTTCTCAGACACAAATGTTCTTGGCTACTTTCACAGTAAGATTATGTGCCACTATGCAGGGATGGGAAGTTAAATTACTAGGAATTTTTCAAGTCAGTGAAGAATTAATAGTTAAAGAAAACAGTGACGTGATAATAGAGAAAAATAAAGACACCAGAAAGTGATTTTCCATGAGCAGGTTTTTGCGCAATGAATTGTTCATATCTTATAGCTTATACTTTGTATGAAATATCTTTTTTTACACTTGAGACAAGCTTTGTCAGAAAACATGAAGGAAAGATTCCACTTGGGATACATTGGCCTAGAAGTGAAAGCAATACTAATATCGATCTTAAACGACTAGGATATGAGGGTGTCGAATGGATTGAAATATTGGTCCAGATAAAGATTCCTGTGAATACGAGAATTTACCTTAGAGTTTTCTAAAAGGAGGGGAATTTATTTAATGCCGAGTGACTATCAGGTTCTCATCGAGGTTTGTGCTCTGCAGAGTTAAGTCATTAAGAAACACAAAAGTTTGAATTAATCTGCTTTCGAAGTATTTAATTTTAAACGAATGTCCCCCGATGACTCCATCCTTAATTAAATCCTGCACGTTCGGTTATTAGTGGCTGCAGTTTCAAATAGAGTAGTCTTCTGTTTTGCTTGACCATGGTCGCGGCACCTATTACTATTAACATAATAGTTTAATTGGATAAAAAGTATCCCTGTATATTCGGCATATTTTAACTCTCGAAGAAGAAACGGCTTTGTGGAAGGTACAAAAGAGTTCTAGTCACGAAATCTGATAACATCATATCGCCAGAGAAAAGAGCAGTACAGGGAGAAAAATAACAATTGTCCTCTTAAAAATATAAGAAGAAACAAGATGTCGAGTTTAAGTTGGAGCAAACAGATACAGTAATTAGCTTGACTGTTTAGATTATAAGATAATATGAGTGTCGCCATTAAAATAATAAAATATGCAATATCCTTAAAGAGACCACTTTGTGAAACGACATATTAAATTATTTTTATGACAAGAATTTGCAACTTAGAATTTTCACCTTACAGAAGTCTATTTGTTTTTTATCTGGCGGGATAAACTTATACTTATCCAATGCAAAAGACAAAGGGACTAGAAATATTTAATTAAAAGTTTCATTAACATATTGAAGTTATTCAAGTCTCCATACTGTGCACAGTCGCTATAAAAAGTAGAATCCTGTTTGTTAAACAATTATTTCCTTTTTTTTACTGAACAAGAAGTATAAACGTATAAAACATGCCTATTCAATTAACATACTATTGTTATTCGACAATGTGTGTATGTGTGTGTGTGTGTGAATTTAACTTTTGAATTGAGAATCAGGAATAGCACTTCTCCATACACTGCAGTATGCAGTTAGAAAGATTGGATCTACTGTTTCTTTTAGGACTTTCCTATTATAACTATAAACTTGGAAATGGTTTCCATGAATACCAATGTCAAACAAGTTTGTAGCGGGAGAATACGCGAATAAGCCCAAGAAACTTAAGACGTGGCAAACCAAACTCGTAAAGAGTAATGATTATCAATGAGTATAACGCATGA